AGTAAATCTAATTAATAAATCTGATTAGTAAATCTGATTAATAAATGCTACACAAAAAGAATTAACGTACTTAAGGCTGCTATACGTAACTTACGTAAAGCTGCTACACGTAACCTACGTAAGGCTGCTATACGTAACTTACGTAAGGCTGCTATACGTAACTTACGTAAAGCTGCTACACTTAACGTACTTAAAGCTGCCACACGTAACTCACGTAAAGCTGCTATACGTAACTTACGTAAGGCTGCTGTGACAGCCTGCCTTGTTACCTGCAGTCAGCTGATCACCCATCCAGGCCTAGCGCCTGTAGCCATGTATATAGACCTTCCTGAGCTCCCCGAGCTTCCTGTTTCCTCTCTTCACTTTGTATTCTAAGGTCAGAATTCATCAGTTCGTCACATTATACAAAGTCCTTCGATTAGGTCGTCGTATTACAGCTTATTGTTATTGATTATTGTTACAGCTTACAGATTACGACTTATTGATTATTATCAAGAACGGAGTGAGTTACTTGTTGGGTGCTCCACAGTCTTCATTTATTGCTTACAGATTATTGTCTTTTTTTACGACCTCACCTTTTCCTCAGCTCTTCCGACCTAAAAGAGCTCCTTTCCTCAATTTTTTGCACTTCGATTGCAAGACGAACTCTCTTCCCCACTCTTTTTCCTGGCGTTTCCGACACTCAAACGCCCCCCCTCATTCCACTACCATGTCCTCCCACGAAGACGACGGCCCTTCCCCCCTTACGAGAATCGCTCAATTAGAGTCTCTCGTAGAGCAATTACGGACGGCCCCTCGCCAGCGCAAATGCGTCCTTCCTGATCCCGATAAGTTCAACGGTACGGTTCAGCGGTGGGATACCTAGCTCCCCTCAATCAAGGCCAAGCTTCTCGTCGACGGTGAGGCTCTTAGCGGACCCACTGCGCAGTTCTACTACGTTTACTTTAATATGGAACCCGGTCCCCAAGCAATGGTTTTGACTCAATTAGCCTCAGCTCAAGACTCCGGCAATTAGGACTACAATACTCTTCTGGATCAGCTCGCTCTCGCTTACGACAATCCAAACAAAATTCAAGAAGCTGAGGATAAGCTGCTTGCTTGCAAGCAAGGTACAGACGCTCTCCATATCTACGTCTCACGCTTCGAACGACTTTTGCACGCTGCTCGCTGTCAGACCTGGCCCGACGCTAATAAGATTATTGCGTTCCGCAATGGTCTGAACTCAACTATACGGACCCGTCTGAATGGCCAATTGACTCTCCCAATTACGTATACCGAATACGTGCACGTCACTCAGCAGCTTGGACGCTCTTCCGGCTCTTCCGGCCCTTCCGGCCCGTCCCACGGATTCCCTCGACCTTCGGCCCCTCCTCAAAACCGCCCTCGCACGTCAACGGGCCCCTCTCCCGGCGACCCAATGGACCTTTCGGCAGTCGAACGCGCTCAACAACTCGAGCAATTGCAGCACGCCAACGAGCTCGGCGCAATAGAGCTTATCGACGCTCACGAGGCTGATCAAACTCAGCTGTTGGAAGACCGATACCCCACTCTCCAGCATGCTCCTCACAGCACTCTTGATCAGCGCGAAGCTTGGCGCAAATCAAATCGCTGTACCCGTTGCGGTGCAATCGACCACTAGATAGCTGGCTGTACCCTCCTTCCAGCTAAGCCTTTGACAAAGAAGCGAGTTCTTTGGGACCCTTTTTCGGACCGACCTGTCAGAGAAAATGAGGGTTTAAGCGAGTTTGACTCGGACGAGAGGGAGGAAATTTTGGCGGAATGGAACGCTTCTAGAGGCTACGACGCTGACCCTGACGATTATCGCGACCTGTAGCCTCGGCGTATTTTTTGGTTTTTTTTTCAGCAATTCCACCCGTAAACCATGGTTCACGACTGAATTTTTTTCCTTCCTCTATCAAGTACTTTTGAGAGAGCTGGGACCGCTCTCTAAAGGGGTAGTGTGACAGCCTGCCTTGTTACCTGCAGTCAGCTGATCACCCATCCAGGCCTAGCGCCTGTAGCCATGTATATAGACCTTCCTGAGCTCCCCGAGCTTCCTGTTTCCTCTCCTCACTTTGTATTCTAAGGTCAGAATTCATCAGTTCGTCACAGATGCTTTATAATAATATAAATAAAAAAGAGCAAAGCGATAATAAAGAAAACTCAAATGAAAATAATATTCTTTTCTTTTAATACAAAAGAGCTAAAAAATCACTTTCGACGGCTAAAGCTGCTCGCTCCGTTCTATTAGCTAGCAAATCACTTTCGGCAACTAAAACTTCTTCTCGTTAAAAATCTAAAAAAGGCAAGTATCTTAAGAAGTCTATAGTTGTTACGAAAAAAAGAGGTTTACGCTAACGAAAGCGCCGTCGCTATAAGCTAAAAAGTAAGTTCAATTAATTAATAAATTAATTCTCAAGTACAATTATTAATTTATATAGCTATTGCGTTAAAAGAGATCTAACGATATCAAAAAAGCACCGAGCTTTTTATTAAAAAGACTTTTTTCTAGCGTTTTGTTCGAAAGATCACTTACGATTTTAAATAAGACTTTAAATTTTAAAGCGGTGCTTTAAAATGTTTACAAAAAGCTTTAAAAGCATTCTTCGTAAAAGAGTTTGAAAGTAAATACTTATATATTTATTTATTAATCGATTTACTAATCGATTTACTAATCGATTTACTAATTACTTTTAGTGACGAACTTATATACTATTCACGCTAAACGAATAACGATTTAAAACAAAAATATAGCGTTGATTAAGAAATTACGAGAAATCATAATTAAAAGTTTTGTTTAATAATTTTAATTTATTATAATATAATGCAATGTAATTGTAAAGTATAACATATATGATTAATAAATATAATAAATAAATATAATAATTAAGTAAAATTAATAAATATTCGTAAATTTGTTTTATTTTTAACGGCCTTATATATATTATTTTTAGCTGTCTTACTTTAAACCTATAAGGTTTCTTTATCCCTCGTAAGGAATTTGACTTAAAAAAATCCTCTTTATAAGGTTTAAAAAAAAAAGTCCTTTATCGGCCAAGACTTTATAGGAGGAATGGGGAGGAAAACCCTATGGGGCCCCCACCCCATGGAGCAGCCTAAAGTATACTAAACGAATAGTACTTCGAAAGTATCGCCGTGCAAAGTAATTTAAATAAATAATACTTTATAAATATCGATTTAAACTTTAGCTAGTTCGATCTTCGAACTAAAGTAACGATTTTTTAAGTAATACTTATCGAGTATATCGAATAGCATGCTCGACGGACATAAATCGAAGAAAGATCGCTTTTAAAGCAATAGCCTCGAAGCTTATATGCAAAAGCACTTGACTATTAACTTAACGTATATCGAATACTCTTTAAAAGTGCATCGCAAAAGCATATAATTAATAGCTTAGCGTATAACGTAAACTCCGAATATATAACTTTTTATAAAGAAAGCAAATCTAAAAAAAGTATAAAGACCAACTTTTAGTTCGATTCTTTGCGTAAATTATTAAATATATATAAAAAGGAAAAGCTCCGACATATACTTAACGTCAAATTAAAAGATATATATATATATAGCTATAATAAAATCGTAAGTAAATAAAAGGAGAAAAGAAAGACGATCGAAGATACTCGAATGTATTTTGTATATACGTGTATTGTATTGTATTGTAATGTCGTGGTAGTTCAAGGAGGAATCAATTACTCGTTTATATAAGAGCCTGCACGTGACCTAACCACGTGCCTAGCAGGGCCAGAGCATGCAGCGCACCCACGTGACAAAGGTGCCCAGCATTAGTACTATATACATGGACAAACAAATACAGACCCCTAACTCCACCACAATAGTAACTGCCAATTGGAAGAAGGAATAGCTAGCTAGCGTAAAGAGAGAACTGTATACAGTTCTCTTTCTCCTTAAGAGGGATTCCTTCTTCCTTAGATAACCGAAATCAATACAATTAAAACCACTTTCTGCTTCCCTATCACAAGGAAAAATTATCTTCTTACAATTATCTTTGATAGCCGTAAAATGTGTAGGCTTCTCCCTTTGCCTTTAATTGGTCCTTCTTCTGTTCTTATTTATCTAACGCTCTAATTTAGAGGGTATGAACGGCCTCCTTCATCTGCTTACCAGCTTTATACTGGCATCTCCTAAGGATACTAGCATCTCCGAGATGGACATCTTTCCTTCGGATCCCGGCCCGAACCGACATCTGACCCGCCTCAAATTAAATCATTACTTTAAGCGGGTCGAACCGAGAACATAATAAAATATTGAAATCTATTGGTGGAAATTGGAATCAAGTACAGCCGACGAACCTCCATTCCAGTCAAAACATCTTCCGTTAGCCAGCCATATGCACAAGGCTACAGCCATATTTAATTAATATCCCAGGGCAGGTATCACTCAGGAACCGATCAGAATGCCCCTCTCAAAACAGGAAAAATTCTTTGTTTACCAATCAGTGTCAGTCCTCGAAGCCTGTTCTTCGGAACCATGGATTTTTATCAAAAAAAATCCCATCCATAGACCGAGCTGCACTGAAGTTATAAACATACGGCCATTACCCTCTGTGATAAGTTTCTCTAGCCAGCGATCATGCATTTCCCAATCCTTCTTCCGATTCTTGCCCTGCCCGCGGCTTTCGGCCAGCTCAACAAACTGGCCAAAGCCAAGGGCCTGAAGTACTTTGGCTCAGCTACAGACAATCACGAACTGACAGACACTCAATACGTCGCAATTCTCTCCGACACCAATGAGTTCGGCCAGATCACCGCGGGGAACGCCCAGAAGTGGAGTTACACAGAGCCGACTCAGGGAAGCTTCAGTTGGACCCAAGGAGATGTCATTTCGAACCTGGCCAAAAGCAATGGACAGCTCTTGCGATGTCATACGCTGGTGTGGCATTCTCAACTTCCGGGTTGGGGTACGTTCATAACCAACCCCCTTTTAGCTTACACAAGATTGATGATCACCCAGTCACTTCTGGGACGTGGACGAATGCGACCCTCATCGCTGCAATGAAGAACCACATCGCCAACGAAGTCACTCATTACAAAGGGCAATGTTATGCCTGGGACGTCGTCAATGAAGCTTTCAACGAAGACGGGACCTGGAGACGTAGCGTTTTTTACAACATTGTGAGACTTCAAAGCACTTCCGTCCGAGAGGCAAGCTTCTGACAAGAATAGATCGGCCCCGAATTCATTCCCATTGCTTTTCAGACAGCTGCGCTGTACGATCCCGATGCCAAGCTCTACTACAACGACTACAATATTGAATCGGCCGGATCCAAGGTCACCTCAACACTGAGCCTGGTCAGGAGTCTCAAAGCCCGCGGCATCAAGATTGATGGGGTGGGGATGCAAGCCCATTTCATCGTCGGCTCGACTCCCAGTCTGTCGGCGCAGACCTCCAATCTCAGGAGCTTCACAGCTCTGGGTGTTGAGGTTGCCTATTCCGAGCTCGACGTGCGATTCACTTCATTGCCGCCAACTACCACTGGCCTGGCCCAGCAATCAACAGACTACGTCAACACCGTCTCGGCCTGTCTGGCCACCGTAGGCTGTGTCGGAATCACCCTCTGGGACTTTACCGACAAGTATTCGTGGATTCCGGCCACCTTCTCGGGTCAGGGACAGGCTTGCTTGTGGTATGCGGACTTCACGAAACATCCTGCGTATAATGCCGTGGTGAGCGTCTTGGGCGGCACGGCTAGCTCGACAGCGGCGGCTACCAAGATGTCGACAGCGACATCGGCTCCAGCGTCGACGGCGACCTCGGGAATCATTCCGAAGTACTGGCAATGTGGAGGAAGTACCTTCACTGGGTCCGGGACTTGCATCGCCGGGACCGTCTGCTTTCACCAGAATGACTTTTACTGGCAGTGTCTATGATCGGGATCAGTGACGTGAGTTGAAGGCTGTGGAGGGGATGGAGAAACACATCTCATATGTATGTACGGATAAATATATATATTGTGTGTGTGTGTGTGTTTATATAAGTGAACGAAATTTCGGAGGATCATCTGGAGTGCCGCTCCCCAACCCTACTACTGCTTTCGCAATCGCAAAATATATATATATATATATACTTGGGCGTCCAACATTGCGGATTTGCGCACGAGCCAAGTGCACATTCACACACCGCTGGGATGCTTCTCAGGCCAGAAGTTCGCCTACTGCATTATTTAGCGACTTCACAATACCAACGAGAGCGAGAGAAGGGATTGAGGAGATCACTCGGAGAGGGACATTACCCAAGAACAATATCCAAGCAATAAGCCCGTTCAGAGATGTTTTTCGATAGTAATATTCGAACCAGATAACTGACACTCTAGGCCAAGTGCCGCACCACCTATTATCCAACAACATGCTTGCTTTCTCAACTATGGTCAATGGGCGATCCGATTCGATGCGATACGGCTATTGTTGCCTCATCTGAACAGCTGCCGACACGGCCAAGGATCTGCGTGGAACATGTTCTTCCCCGGGTCGACTCGGCGACGATCTCGAAGAAAACTTGAAAATTTGTCAAAGCGGTCAGGTCGCATGGAGTGGGTTGTTGGTTGAGTTTACCCCGGACGTGCGTTCCCTACTGTATGGTGGATCTCGCTTGGGTTGATCGGTTGTTTACATGAGTCAGGAGCCACGGATTATTTCTTCATTTATGCAAGATGATGCCTGCATCTCTGGTACGGAGTAAGTAAGTGTTAAACATGGCAACATCGCAATGTGATATGAAGGTTAAACGGTTTGTTGTATATCTACAAATAACCCTCTCTTTTGGTTTGATATTCGTCTGAACAAGGTGCATTTTCTGCCCGGCAGTCAAGCTCCCCGTGGGAAATGGGGCCTTCGGGTGGTTTGACATCCGCGACAGCTCATCCTATCTGTAAGGGAAAAGAACACCTGACCGTAGCCTTTGCTGTAGCGCTTTGAAACTGCTTTCTAGGGCTGTCTTGCATGTAACTCCTTAGCTTAGCACGTTGCCGTACCCCATGGGGGGTCCCGCTCCGCCTGCCACCCCGCCCGACGTTAACAACTACAACAACGACAAGAAGAAAAGCAATTACAATCACAATTAAGATATCAACAATAACGACGACTACGACGACCACATCCGCGATAGTAGCGTTGATCTAAGATCAACACGGGCAAAACAATCGTTCCTCTTTCTTTTTCTTCTGGTTTGATGATCCGCAACTCCAAATAGACTCGGTGTTCGCAGTTCACCCACTCTCATCTGCAATTTTTCCGATCAGTGATCTGATCTGATAACTGATATCTGATCTGGTCTCTAATCAAAAGCTCAAGTATCCCGGGACCCGGCGTAAGGGGGAGAAAAGCAGTTCAGTCACCATGGGCCAGCAACCATCGATCCCCACGGATCTCTCGCGAGAACTCCAAGTGATAGGCGCGGGATTCTCCAGGACGGGGACCGTTTCGTTCGCCATGGCGCTGGAGAGACTCCTCAGCGGCCCCGTGTGCCACAGCGGGACCGCCATCCTCCTCCGAGAAGAAGGTAGGCACACATCCACACGCTTCTCACCTGACATCGCGATCCCCCGCGGGCGCAGAGGGGCGGATATCGGATTTTGCTAGCGAATGCTGACACACACGCGTGGTAGCGTACGTGCAGAAGTGGATTGCCATCCAGCAGAAGGGGGCCGCCGAGGAGGTGGTGGAGCGGAACCTGCGGGATCTGACCGCCGGCTACGTGGGCACGACGGATACGCCGGCCATCCAGTTCACGGAGGAGCTGACGCGCCTCTACCCGGATGCCGTCGTGATCTGCTCGACGAGGGACCAGGACAGCTGGTGGCGGAGCGCGCAGGCGCTGATGCAGAACACCGGGCTGTGGTGGCTGGATCTCGTGTTCTGGCCGGTGCCCACGCTGAGGTACTTTGGGAGGTGGCGAGATAGCATCGGAGACAGGTGAGCTCAGTTGGCATGAAGCATCGCCGACGACTTCGCGAGACGGACGGAATCCAAACTGACAGATGCGGATCACAGGCTGGAGAAGGTGTACCAAACGAGCAGAGACAACATGAACGGTCCTCGTAAGTCCCCCCCCCCCCCTTTAAGTCAGCTGAAAGCCATTCTTAACGCTGTATCAGAACTGCTAGAGCTGCATGAAGCTTATATTCGTCGGGTGGTGCCGCCGGAACGGCTGTTTTTCTTCAACGTCAAGGACGGATGGGAGCCGCTTTGCAAAATCTTGAACTGTCCGGTACCAGACGAGCCGTTCCCGAGAGCAAACGATGCGAAGGCCATGCAGGAGTTTTTCGAGAAGATGCTGAAAGCCGCGCTGGTGAAATGGATGCAGATTTCTGTTATCTCGGGGGCGTGCATCGCGATGGTTTTCTGGGCTTGGATGTGACTTGTAGCAGATGGCATACATCGGCGTTATTTGGATTTTGTTTTCAAAAAAGAATTCTGAAAGAGATGAAGATACCAAGGTTTTCAGTTCAAGAAATGGATCAGTCGATTGTAGCCTGAATATCGGCCCAGCGGGATACGGTCCTCTGTCCTGGATCGCCCAAGCCGACCGACCGGGTGCTTCCAATTTTGACAGGAGAATGTTGGTTATGAATTCTGGTATCAATTGCGCAAAGATTCAGACTTAAGATCCTGACAATGAGATAGGCCAGTTGAAGAAACGGTGCAGAAAACAAGACACATATAGACGCCTTCGGGCATATTATCAGAGCCAAAGGTGATTCCTCGTCCATCCACACCAACAGATACAAGGTTCCTGGCGGACTCTGAAAGAAAAAACTTGAAGCTTAAGCTCAAGTGTGTGTGTGTGTGTGTGTGTGAAAGAGAGAGAGAGAGAAAGAGAGGAGGGGGGAGGCCAAGATCATGAGATGCAGTACCTACGGCAGGAAGACCTACCTGATGATGCTAAAATGAAAAGAGTAAAGACCAAGCTTGGAACGGACAGCAAAGACAGAGAGAGGCTCGAGCACAAACTCGAAGGGAATTAAATTATAACAGCCTGGCTCGTACCTCAAGATCGAGGCTCAGGGTACAAGTATATACAGTATTGGTATGCTCCGCCCACCCCTTGACGCTCTCGCTTAAAAGTAACGTTTTCCAACTGGTATCATCCCATTGCCGAGCCCATGTATCCCACAACAAGCGATTGCCACCGAGAAACGCTTTTAGGAGCCCGCCGCCCCGTTCAACAAGACGCCCTCCATTTAAATCCAAAGTCCACCAGCCCGCTCTAAATGCCACCCTCAACGACCTCCCTCTCGGGCGCCTCCTCTCCACTCTTCCTCGCCCGTCTTCTCTCCAACACCATCTTTCCGCCATCTGGACTCTCTCCCTTGGTGTGACGGATGCTCTCGTTTCTCCCAGTATGGTGATGCTGTTTCGTGAAGGGTTCTCTGCCATACACGCCTTACCTCCCAGTATCAAACCCCATATTCTTCTCGGTCGCCTTCGCGCTCTTCTCTGCAATCCCATCCAGCGGCGGGAACGCCGTCGCGAGAGTTGGACTGGCAGGCGGACTGCTGGTCGCGCTCGCACACTCGCTATGGAAACTGAAGGTCTTGCTATTCTTCTGGTGCCCAGAACCAGAGCCGGGGCGCGGGCTCACCGCACCAGCTTGCGCCAAAGGTGGCTGTGCACCGCTTGGGGGGCCATCGTCCATACCTGCTGTGCTCTTGGGGCTGCCGCCGCCACCGCTGCTGTGTTGGCTTGCTTGGCTACCACCCCACGCGCGGGCCCGCAGCTTGAGTAAGGCCTCAAAGCTGATGTCTGCATTATCGTAGTCGCCCCCTGGGGTGCGGAGCATGTTTGTGAGTTGTGCCAGCCCTGGAGAGGGCATGCTGCCTGGGGGGTGCATGGCGAGACTCATGAAGGAGTTTCGGTTAGAATACTCGGACCGTTCGGTGATGGGAGTGAGGTTTGGTTCTCGCGAGACAACTCTGTTGCTCAAGCCACGAGCTACACCCGATAGCCCACGAGGTCCAAAGAACCCACCGATTTGATTGTTGCCTTCAGCGGGTGCCGAGTAGAACCCGAATTCATGCCCGTAGAAACCATCGTCATCGTTGGCTAGAGCTTCAGCATTTGCGGCTGCGATGATGGGATCATCTTCGAGTACGTCGTCATAGTCGAAGTCGTCTTCTAACTTATCGTAGGGAGGCGAGAAGGGTTCGCAATGCGATGTTTGACCGGAGTCGTTGATGAGGCCTGGCTGGGAGTCTTCTTGCTCCGACGTGTTGGTGCTGTCGCGGCGGAATTTCCCGTTGGCGGCTGCGGCGAATGCTGCCTCTGCAAGAGCTGACTGGTAAGCAGCGAGAGTGTCGCGAGTGAGCGTTTGCGTAGGAAGTGGTAGAGGTCCCTCTGATCCTTGTGAGCCGGAACTCCCATAGCCGCGGCCTGATATGGATGGTTTGGGAGCGAGGCGGCCGCTTGTAGGGAGGATTGGAGAGGCGGGATCGATCATATCCTCCGCTTCTAATGTGCCATGTTGGAAGGAAGAGGACAGATCGGCGGCGAGCATAAGCGGGAGGGGCTGGGCCGGTAAGGATGGAAGTGGTTTTAAGGGTCTCCCATACTGGTCTGTGTCGATGTTGTCAAAAACAGACTCGTCAAACTCGATATGGTTGTCACCGTCACCGGGCTCACCGATGATGCCGTCGTCGAAGTACAGGTCGTCATCATCATCAAGCGCGGGAGGTCGTGGGAACTCATCGACGGGTGAAAATTGCCGCGTAGCGTCAGCAGTCCTGGTATTCATGCCCTGGAGTCCAAGGCCTTGGACAGGGCCTGTTGCTTTAAGGCCGAAGGGAAGAGGCGAGGATGGCGACAACCCCGACTCGACTGCGTCTGGAGCCCAGGGCGAGTTCCTGGACATGGCAAACCCGATAACAGCGCCATCTTCATCTCGCGGGGTGCTCGCTATCGCTGGACTCTTGGGACTCAATGGCGCTGGCAATAAAGAGTGCTGGAACGTGAACCCGCCCAAGATCCCGCTGTCTGGATAAGCATCGCCTTCGTCAAAACCAGACATGGGTATCGGCTCTTCCAGATCATCGTGATCGTAGGGGTAATCCTCCTCATCCGCAACTTCGAGCCCCGGTATCCATTCCTCCAACCCATCGTCGTCCTCCATATGGTCATAATAGTCATCATCCCCTCGCTCATCTTCCAGTCGACCATCTCCGCCGTCCAGGGTCTCGGCTTCTTTCTTCTGAGCTTTCTTCCGGTGCCTCTCTTCCAACAACTTCTCTTGCTTGGCTGCCCCGACCATATCGAAGCTGAATCGCGAAGACGTGCTTCTCATGTGTTTGGGAAGCGCAGCAGCATCTTTGATAGACACCTCTGAGACGTTGCTGCGCGGTCGACTTCTCCTCGAACCCGCCTTGGGAGGCGCCGAGGCGGGATCTATCGATACGCGCCGTGGCTCAACGGATGAAGGCCCATCTGGCCTCAGTGGTACTGGCGGTGGATGGAGTGGCAACGGGGGGCAATCTGGAGCCGGCTTCTGGGTATTCGGCCTCGTGGGCCCATGGGGTTGCTTCTGTGCTCCATCGGTGCTTTTTGGATCAGGTGACTTTTGAAGGCCTCGGGCATAGGGCGGCTGAGGAAGTGGCAGATCCGTCAAGTCACTGGCTTTCCGCACGTGGGGTCCAGCATGAGGATACTGTTCCTCCTCGAAGTTCTCTGTAAAGACTGGAGTGTGATTGCCACCGCTCCACGGGCTAGTGACATCCTCGCCCGCATTACTCGGGTCCCCATTCGGACTGCGCTGATATCTTAGGTTTTGCGCCGAGTTTGCATCTTGCCGCAGATCTCCGTTGGACAGCTTCTTCCTGGGTCGAGGGGCGCTGAAGTCATGGACAAGCGTTCCTCGAATCCGGGGATCAAAGGTCTCGGTAACCTTCTTTCCTCGCTTGCTCGAAACCAGAGATTGGGGTGCCAGTTGCGGCATTGCTGGTGATGCCTTCCTCCGCGCCAGCAGTGACATGGGATTCAGCTTATTCAGTCTCGATTTCGAATGTATAGGTTCTATCAGCGTCGTGGCTCCCAACGAGAAGCTGCTGGTCTGCGACTTCTTGACGCCTTGTATCGATGGTGCTGCCAGCCCGGGAGACGTCACGAAGCCAGGACTGGTGTCCGATCTGAGACGTGGACTTTCCGGATTCCTCTTCATCTCCGCCTGTGCTCGTGGATGCTGTAGACGGTGGTGGCTTGTCGGAGCGGTCATCCCAGCCGACTCTGTTCTCGGCGACGCAGCATTTAGCATCCTCCCGTGGTTTCTCCGTGAATATGGGTCTTTCTCGCTCGTAATGGTTGTGATGGTGCCCGGCTGCAGTCCGCTGTATGTGAATATGCCATTCCACGGCCCATCCAAGTCCCTGTCTGCCGAAGACACGCGCGCAATGGGCTGCAGCTGTAAAGATGGCGGCGGCAGCGGCGGCAGTGGCGGCGGCGGCGGCGGCGGCGGCGATCGAGACGTCGGTAACTCTAGTATCTTCCCGTCCGGGTATCTGTAGGGGTGGGCATGATCTGTATGGGCGGGTTGCTCGAAGGGTTGGGATTGGGGATGGGGATGGGGTTGTAGTTGTAGTTGTGGGTCGGCCGGCGACGTGGGATTCGATGAGGTGCGGCGATGGTGAGGTCGCAGTTTAGCAAACATTATTGTGGCCTGCTCCTGAGCCGGATCCTGCTTGCCAGCGTAACTAGCGTTTTCTCGGTTATCCTTCCGCAGAGTTTCTGTCTGTTGTATATCGTTTCTTTGGAGGCGATCGGGGTGGGAGGGTTTGGAGGGGGATTTAGATAAATCGCGGAGCGCGCATTTCGCAATTGCCTTTGCGACTGACTTCGGGCTGGCCGACTGACTCCCGGGACGGGTATGGTATTGATAAACAGATACACCGTTGCAAACACAGCTTGAATGGTGTAGCACAAGCGATGCTCTGTGCTGTGTTGTGTGTTGTGAGTTGTGTTGGGCCGTGTTCGTGTCCTCTCGATTGGTATTCGGGGATGGGTGAGAGACTGAGAGTGAGCGCGCGGGCGTGTGTCGAGGTGGAGGTGGAGATGGAGGTGGAGATGGAGATGGCGATGGGGAAAGATACGTAGTCAGTCCGTCGGTACTTCTTGGCCTGCCGGGCCTATCGATCGACCCAGTTTTCAACGTCGGGATACGGTAGGTCCGGGTCGAAGCGCTGCCTCCGTCCTCCGTAACACGTGGATCTAAAAATAAAAGGATATGTACCGGTAATATCGAAAAGATATATGAAAAATATCGAAAAATATCGAAAAATATATCAAAAATATAATCAAAAATATATTTAATAAAAATCTGAACAACACGTCAAAGAAAGAGAGAAAGTATATAATATGTGTATGTGTATGCATGCAGAGAAGCCGAGACAGAGATACAGTAGATAAGAAAAATCGGGACATGAAATTCTATCTCACTCCGTCGACGCGGATTATCCCCCTGGCGAAACAAGAGCCCGCTTCGGCACCTACTGGTACTGGTACTGGTACTGGTTACTGGTACTGGTACTGGCACTGGTACAGTACTGCACTGTACGGTAGTACAGGACCGGTAGTACAGGACCAGTACCTACAGTACCTACTACAGTACTACTTGTACGCTCCGCTCCGTACGTGGCCCACCCGACCCGCTACAGTGGTCGCGGGTCACTCGATGATCTGTGATGCGAAACCGATCCCATGTCTGGACTCGGGTCTCGGGCCTCTGACCGTACAGAGAGTTACCGGTACGGGATGCGTGCGGGTTTGGTGCTAAAAATACACATGCCCCCAGACACGGGACCCGCAATGGCCTGTCTGAACGGGCCACCGCAGAATGTCTTGGGAATCCCGGAATCTCGTCAACCTCCTGCTACACCAGTGATGGGAAGTGAACAGATAAGACAGATAAGACAGATAATACAGATAATACAGATAATACAGATAAGATACATAATACCGATGATACAGATAGTACAGATAACATAGATAGTACAGATGATACACATAATACAGATAGTACAGATAGTACAGAAGACTACTTCCATTCTTTCAGCTATCTTCCAGCCATGCAGAGGCTCATTCTACCTAAAATATACTCCATCGGTGGGTGCCGAAGAGCCATCCCCTCTGAGTTGGCCACTGTCTCGAAGTATGGGAAAGTTTTTCAGAAGAAGCTCGCTTTCTAAAAGTCGGAGCGAGAATGGTGTTGCCTTTTTCTCGCTTGCAACTTGTGTGTAACTCACGTGGAACGAGCAAAGTTCAGAATCATCCAGAAAACGCAAACACACCCCCCCCCCCCTCGGAACAATCATACCCTCAGCGGACGCTTACGAACTCCGCTTCCCATACGGCTCGAGCGGAAACGCAATAGCCACAGCAGCCATGGCGATATACAGCGCCGCACAAACATATATCGGGACCGAAGTAGCTACGCAATCATGAGTCCACACTCTCAGATGGCACTCAGCAGCAGCCAGCGAGAGGAGCGGGGACTAGAAGCCAACGTGGCCACCCACTCTCCACCGCCGAGATCAAACCACATACAAACGGGAGAAGACTTACTGATATCAGCATGTGTAGCCATGACCGCGCTCAAAATTCCCATGGCCCGGTTGCAAGCGACCGCAACCCCATGACCCGTCCCGCGATGCGCACTCGGCAAAACCTCAGCAGTATACGCATACAATGTGCCATAAAATACACTATACGTGAAACCCATGGCACAGCTGAAGCCCACCTTTTGAGCCTGGGTCCGAACTTGGGGGAAAGCAAAGAAGAACGCCGTGGTCGTGAGGGCGCCGATAACCATGGTGTATTTGCGGCCGAGGAGACGACGGTTACACATATAGCCAGCGAGCATCGGGCCCTGTCATGGAAGTTGACCGCGTGAGCGAACTAGGCTGTGGATGGGGGGTGGAAGGTAATCGGAACGTACGGGGATGCTCGAAATGTTTACCAAAGCATAATTCCTCCATTTCTCAAAATCACTCGCAACTCCGAAATCCGCACCCCTCGACGCAAGGTAACTATTCAAAGATAGATAAAATAGCGGATACGCGAGACCAGTCAAGGTCCAGCTCAGCCAAATCAGAGACGTCGACAATGCAAGCGTGTGTGTAGCGAACAAACCTCGAAAATGCACCGAAAGTCCCGGGATCGAAGACTTGGACGGGCCACGTATAGAGTTGATGGCCCCGCACGCATCGAGCATATCGAATGTGATAGAGCAGGAACGGTTGTACTTGATGGCCATGATTTGGAAGTCGGCGACGAGTTGGGCATCCTTTCCTTCGCTGAGAAGGTACTTGGGTGTTTCTTGAAGGCGGATGACGGTCACGCGAGCAATGCTCATGATGAAGACCATGGCACCAGATGTATACATGAAATATCGCCAGCCGACGTTGTCGTATTTGTGGCAGGTAGAGGCTCTGATGTCGTTGTCGTCGAATGGATTTCGACAGTTCCATTTTTTGCGCGCTGGAAATGCTAAGTAAACAAACCAGGGGCTAAACAAACGAGGGGCTTGGACGAAGGCTCACGTAGAAACCCCCAGGCAATGAAGCCAGCAAATGCTTGGCCAAGACCCCACCAAGATGCCAACCAAGCTATGAACTGTTATTATAGCCCGAATTTCATATTCAGATGACGTACCGAGAACCCATTGCTTGTTCGATGGCAAATACTCAACCAAGACAGTCATGTCCATGGTTAGATTTCCACCACCTCCAAATCCCACCATTGCAACCATTGACGCCAGAGCAATCCAGTTTGGCGCTGCACCGGCGGCGATTGTAGAGATGGAGCAAATGAAGAGGGATAGATTGAAAGCGAGGCGACGGCCAACCATGTCCGCACCCAGGCCCCAGAAGAGAGCTCCGACGAGCATACCGAAGTTGGCAGCAACAGTGAGGGCGCGGGGGTAAGATGGGCTGAACTCATAGCTGGCTTGGGTTGCGATGATGCTTTGGAGGAGGAGAAGCTGGGAGTCGACGGCGTATCTGGGCAGGTGTCAGCCGGGGCGTCAGAAGGTTACTCTTCGGGGTACTTACCCGAAGCCATTCAAGACAAATAGTCTCCTGTGGACCAGTATCAGTCAATATTTCATCAGGAAGCGGTAGCTTGAGCTTGGCCGCCGCAGTGAGAATGTCAGAGGGGGGTTTGAAGGCGATATACCAATGATATGGAGTCCAGCCAATCTCATCGATAGCCTTAGCTTCATCAGTCATATTTCCTTGGGCACGAGGCTTCTGAGATTGTAGAAGTCGTCTCACATCATTGATAATACGCATCTTTGCAGTAAGCACGGGATCGATATCCTGTCCAGCCAAAAGGTCGCGTCCTTCAGCATTGGATACCGAAGCAAGATCATCTGGGCCTCCAAAGCCGGACTTTTCCCCGTACTCATTGTTCTCGCCCCCGAAAGCACGAGTTGTCATGGGCATGATGCTCGTTCCAAGTCTCCCGCGGCTTTATATTGCTCTTCAACGATAACACGACAGGGAGAGAAAAGGGGCACGAATGCCGAATTGGCTTCATAGAAATCAAGTATTTGATGCAAAGCCAGTCGCCACGGGAGCACCAATAAACCAAAGTAGGAACATGAAAGCTGTGATGATAGACTGCTACCAGCATGCTAAAGTCTTGAGCTTGATAATGGCTGGCCACTTGGCAGGTGCGACCAGAACATGAATGAGGTCGCTGCATGTAGAGTAGATCTTTGCACCTCGAGATCCCACAAGATACGGTCAAAAATTCCATTCATAACATAATGAAGCCGAAGTAAGTAGAATGGATAGCTAGCACCATGCCTGTGAGAAGAGTAAGTAGATACACGGCAGGAGTGAAGGTTGTTGGTTAGAGAGGACAATGTATATACTATTTAGGGCAATGGGCCATGAGACGCATCTCACCCGAGACTGGGCAAAGCGCAGAATGAAGATAAATTTGGAAGTGGTTTGGAAGTGATTTGGGAAGATATTCCGTGTGGTATTGGTGTTGAAGTGGAGCCCGTTCTTAGTAACCGTATCACGTGACACTCCTCCCAAGCTTGGCCTTCTTGGCCTTAGCGCGGAACTCGGACATCATCGTCAACTTTTGAAATCTTAACTTCTGCGAATGCTGCAACTCCTTCAGCTTCAGCATTTCCACCCCACCACTATGCACGTAACCAGCCAACGCCCCTATCACTTTGTCTATCGCATACCAGACATTGAATACGCATAGAGTATGGGAGGTATCGAATACGAGACGTATCATCCATAATATCAGATATCGGACCATCAACTATCAGGCCCTGCAAAACCATTCGTACATGCCCACGCAGCTCGACCACCAACACCGACTCGACTCGATGCCCGAGCAAGGACAAGAACAAAGACAAGGACAAGGAGAAAGATCCTCAAACGCGTTTGCTTGAGCCCCCTGTCCAACAACAATATGCCGCCAAAATGAAGCTTCCCAGCCTATCTTCGTTTCTTTACAAGACGTTCTACGTCCTCTGCGTCCTTGGTCTCACCGGACTTATCATTATAACGCCAGCGGATCTCATTGCGCAAGCCCGGAAAAGGAGCCACAGTCCTCTCCAGATCGCCAATACGCTGGTGGCTCCCGCTGGATATGTTGCTACATTCTTCTGGGCTGTACTGCTGTACTCTATTAGAATCGTCTCGAACAAGGCCCATCTGAAGAAAATCCCAAGGTCAGAAATTCCGATCGAGAAGGGCGACGTGAAGGAAAAGGTCCGGAAAATGATTGAAGCAAGCCTCAACCGGAGTGCTGTCATCGCATGGGACTCTCGACCTCGCCTTTCCGACCAGCCAGCAAGTATCGTGTCTGACCCGGAAAATCGAGATGATGTAGTCGAAACCATGGATCAAGCGGCGGAAAAGAGATGGAGAGTGAAGCGTGGGATATTCCGCAGAGTACGCACCCAGATGGAATCAGAGGAGCATACAGTGACGATCCCCCCGCCTGCTCCTGTGTGGGGAGACATAGCACATAATGGATGGTCCTCGCCGACATCACCAGACTTGCCGAACTTGCAATACATTACAGTTATTCTTGAACTGCCGCATCTGATTGAGGCCAGGGCGGTCTCTCTGGCGCCTGTAGACCCCGGGTCCACCTCTGAGTCCCCTTTACCCGATATTCGAGCCGTGGACCTTCTGCAAAGACAAGCAGCAACTTGTCTCAGGGACTATATCGGTCATCTAGTCAGTATGGGAGTTGTTCCAGCGCCAGAAGTGGCTACCGGATTTCTCGCGAATTACGAATATGCTCGGTTTTCTGGCCAGACTCTGAGCGAACATCAATTTCGGGAACTTATGAGGCAATTTGCGGATCTACTCAGGATTATGGAACCACTTAGCCCTGCGATTCTCACAAGCCTGGATATCGACCGTTCGGAGACCGACATTGACGATGATGGCTCAGCCTCACTCACCCCAGCAACACCAAGCAGCCGCTCTCTCGCATCTTCTCGCAGCATTCGCAGCCGCAGCCGCAGCGAGGGGACTGTCCGCACGGGACCAGCCCGAAGTATTGGCACATGTTCCAAGAGACAGGAATTCGGCACTGCGCCTGCTACACCCAGAAGCAAGAAGAGGTTGATGTCCAGGTCACCGAGCATGCATAGCTTTGCGCCGAGTGGAAGACCGAATGGTGGGAGTTGTGGCGGAAGCTCGAGTTCAAGTTTACGGTCTACAAGTCGGGGGAGTGTTATTCGGTTGAGTAGTGCGCATGAGGATGGATTCAGCCTCCATATACCCAGACCGCGGTGATGCTGAACCCTGCAGCAGCTTTGGGTCCTTCTTGGATTGCTATTAGCGTTGGAGTTCTTTCTGGATGGGATGTAGATGGCGCAATTCCTGATGATGTGTAGTGTTTATGTTTATTGATAATGTATATATAGCATTGGTACAGCTCTAACCCAGCCGTTCGAGCTGAAAGGTTTCTACAGACTCTCCCGTTTGGATGTCTTGACATCCGCTTCCACCCTCCGTCCCCGCACATGAGCGAGTCCCTCTGCATTCCAGATTCAAGCCCACGAACTTACGCTTCTCAAGCCCCGAAATCAAGGTGCGTGGCGAAACCCCGGGGTCGATCCCGCATTGGCAGATGCCCGCGCCCGGTCTTTTTCATTCTACGTGGGATGACCGGTGTTCGCTAGCTAGAAAACATCAATGGTTAATGGAAGCGGACTTGAATATGTTGTCATTTGGATCTCAAATACGAAGTTTCGGACGAGATGAATAAAGATGACCGTTTTTGTTTATTATTTTAGCCTGCGGATTTTATCGTCGGTAGATCTGGATTCTGTGCGATGGATAATGATGCGAGGTTGATCGGATGCGGCAGACCGATATGGTGCATTTGTGGTATGAGTACCGGTATCAGAGGTGGGTGGGAGCGGATTGCTGTTTACTGATGGGCTACATAGGTAGGTACCTATAGGTATTTCTATACAAGTATATATATATAAATATATATATATATATATACACATACATATGTTGCAGAACCCTCCGACCCCCGCTTTCCCTTCACAACACTGGATTGTAGTTTTTTCCTATTCCGCCCCATCTCGAGTAGAGTCGACGGTCAGAATGAGTTACGAGGTGCTTCAACAGGACGAAGATGGGGATGCATCTGCACTGCAGCCGTTTCTATGCAAAGCATCTGCCGAGCGGCGCGGACTGGAATAAATATAATCCGGCCAACGACAATAAACGTCGCCGCCAGACCACGACCAGATCACCCCGACGACGTGCCCGAACCCAGATGCGCACCGCCAGCGATGATATGATCGACGCCGACCATCCTCTCGACGGCGCTGGCTCTGGCTCTGGCATTGGCTCTGCCTCTGGCTCTGCCTCTGGCTCTCGTCTTTCACCGGTCTCCCCCAGCCTCAAGAAGGGCTCAGGACGGCAAACCTCACAACCTCACACCCACAACCACAACCACCGCCACGCAGCCACGGCATCCTCTCCCTCTCCCTCTCCCTCTCCCCCTCCCCCCCCTCCTCTCTCTCCCCTCCCAGCCATCCACCTCCACCTCCACCTCCACATGCATTTCCACTTCCTCATCCTCGCCCTCTCCATCCTCAAAAACTTCCTCCACAACCCCGGACTGCATCAGGCCGCCACATCGATTTGCGCCATCCGGTGCCAGATCTGCAGACTTTGCGGGGCGCATATACGGGCAACATCCAGCAGCTGGAGAAGACGGCTGAGCGTCTGAGCATGACCTCCTCCATCGACGACGCCATCCGCGAGCTGCACGACCAGCAGAAGCGCTCCGACAGCCGTAGATCCTCGTTGGTCTCTTCACACGGTGTGCATGCCCTGACGAGTAAAGTCTCGAATGCCTCGTCCATCGTCGAGGTCAAATCGGCAGCTCGGTCTGGTGGCTACTCTCCGGCTGGCTTCATGATGTCTCCCAAGGGCTCCTTTACCGCAGGTACGCGAGCCCGGTCGGCATCTAAAAGTTCGAGGTACGGAAATAGACCGGAGCCCGACTTGGAGGGTCGTCCCCTCGAGTCCTTTGTCAACATGTCGTTCTCCAATTTCTCCTTGACCGGCCCCCCGGAACACCTCCAAGGAACCAGTTCGATTGCTGAGCAGGACGAGCACTCATCAACACTCACTCGGCCGGTGGTAGACCAAATTGGGAGCTCAGACATGCATGCTATCTCATCGACGAAAGCAATCGCCTTGGACGACCGACCGACCACCTCGGCCTCGATGAACTCATTCGATCAGGCGAATATTTGGGAGGATTTTGATGGCATACACACCGAGGTTACACCCGAGGGGAACCCTCATACCCCATATTACGAAGCAGCATTCACGGGAGCCGCCCATGCGCACCCCTTATCAAGGAGCCCATCGAGAACGCCAGATCCTCAGCCTAAACGGGTTTCTCAACATGGCTCCATACATGGGTCTATAGGCTCTGGCTATGAATCTGTTTACTCCGACGACATGGTCCAACGCAGGGTTTCAGTGGGTAACAGACTATCCACCTACTCGGATGACAACGCACAGCGGAATATCTCGGCGGGCAACATGATTTCCACTCCTTCGAACCGTAGGCCGCAATCTTACATGGATCCTGCTACCGGACAAGATATGGTCTACTATCCCGCGCCTGTACCGATGATGCTCAACCTACCCCAGAAACTTTCCAAAAATCCTTCGTCTACGGCAAGGAATAAGATGAGATCCCAAGTCATGAGCAGCATACCAGCTGCTGCTCGACCATCTGGGGTTTGGCTTCCAGATTTGTTGGAGAATGAAGAACACAGCGAAATGCGGGTGGATGATGAGATCCAGCATCAAGAATACACGGCCCAGCATCAAAGGGCGAGCATGGGTGGACGGTGGCTCGCCAAGACCCTTATGCACATGCCTCCTCAATTACGAGCCAGCACTTTCTTCGATTTACTCTGTCCTAACCAGATGGTAGAGCTGAAGGACAACTCTGCCGTGGCAACACTTGATAGCATACTCGACGCATCCGCACATGCGCCAGTGAATGCGTTTACCGATCATGCATTTGCAGGCCCAGTCGGTGCTGAAGTGTATGGCCAGACACAGCAGCATACCTCTCGAGGTGCCAGTCAACTACTAGAGTCTCAAAGGAGACGGACCAGTTCCTTCAACATTCTGCGCGGTAAGCGGGCGAGCAGCAGCGAGGTACCCCTGCAAGGGGGCGAAAGAAAGAGAGCGTCTACTATGGATGGGGTTGTTGAGAGCGCGATCAGAATGCCGCTGGATGATGAGGACGACGAGGACAATGTAAAGGATACAACACCTCTAAATCAATCCGATGCTGGTGACCGTTTGCACGAGGCGAGTGGTGAACTCGGTGATGAAGAGTCTGGCGGGAAAGATGACGACAAGGACTCGGATCAGGGCCAACTCGATGATGAGGTATATCACGGCGCTCCTACGACTCTCCTTGCCGAGTTACAACTACGGAAACAACAACAAAAGCTACGAACCAGGCCTTTGGCGCAAGCATATCCGAACGGAATGCACTCGACACTGCTTGAGCTTGACGCCGTCGCACAAGTTGAACAGAACACACGAAAGACCAGGAGGATCAATCTGGCATGGGAGGATCCCAATGTCCAAGTGCCAGATGGGGCTGGGGATAGCGATGATGATGTTCCGTTGGGCGTATTGTTCTCCAAGAAGTCCAAGATGGACCTGAATCGGCCCATGGGCCTCATGGAACGCCGGGATTTGGAGGACAACGAGCCTCTTAGCCAAAGACGGAATCGGCTGCAAGGTCGCCCTAACATGCCTCGTTCTGCCACCATGGTTCACGTGGCCGGGCCCGTACCTCCCAACGAAGAAGCCCTACCTGCCGCTCGACCCGTTAGCGGCGACTTTGCATCCGAGATGATGTCTCAGTTTGGCGGCGACGCGGTGAATACCGATAAAGGGAAAGGGAAAGAAGTCGCCCCGCCATCAGAGGAAGAGGAGACGCTGGGTCAGAGGCGGAAACGCCTGCAGGCCGAACGTGAGGCCCGCGCCCGGGAAGTCGGTACGCCCGGTGAGGTGCCGCAAAGGCCTCTGATGCAGCCCAAACGCAGTATGGCCGACCTTCTCTCTGCGCATCCGAGTGCGGGAGCAGCTGAGCGCGTGGTTAGCTACCAGCGCCCTGTGGGTGGTCTGTTGGGTATGCATGAGAAGAGCAGTCAGCATCGCTCGCACACTATGCTGAACCTTACTACGCCCAACTTTTCCTCTGCCAATCCCGGAGCTCCGGCTCATCTAGCCCAACGGGGCTCCTCAGGCGGCTACAAGGCTGGCCAATTCAACGACGGGAGAGGCGGCGGTATCGTGTCGTCTCAGCAGCAACAGCAGCAGCAAGTGCCGTACCACATGTACGGCGGTAATGGCATGTTTCCGCAATCTACTTTTGGCGGGTATGGCCAGTTCCAGCAGCCTGGATACAGCAATCAGATGATGATGCCATTTGCGAACCCATATGCGATGCCTATGAATATGGGTGTGGGCGGGTATAACCCGAACGCGATGCCGATGGGCTACAATCCTAATCTTGGAATGGGGATGCAGATGCCAGGGATGGCGCCGTTGAACCAGGGACAGCAGGAGATGGTCGAGAGGTGGAGACAGAGTATTATGCAGTAATGATCTACGTTGATTCTGGTCTGGATAACATGGTCTAGATGATTCTCGTGGGATGTGAAATAAGCGAGGGGGGTTCTCATTCGCGGGATTTCCTGTCTGCGAGGGATTTTGAGGTCATCTTGAATCTTGAGCGTAGACAGCTGTATAGTATTACCATATCCGTCCGTACGGAACGCGAGCGGAGAATCAATCTATCTGTGTCTTCACCACTCACGTGCACGAGTGGGTTATGGGCTTGGGGCGATAACAACGCGATCCACCGGGGATGGGGTTTTAAACGGCAGCGGAAGTGTGCAGAGGATGGGTATTGATGATGCTGCTGGGAAAGGGGATCGAGAGGTAAGCCGGCCACGAGGGATTCTTGATGTGCGAGATACAGAGTAGGGTAGGCTCACATCGGATGGAGTCCCCGTAATGCGGGTAGAAGGCTCTGTGTCTCTCTCCCTTTGATCGGTTTGAGCTCTCCCAGCAGGCTGCTTGCAAGCAATGCCCGCATTATTTACATCGGGGGCGGGCAGGCGGGCTCGTTACAAAGGTTTAGCGAGCTCGCTGTACCGTAGGCGAGGCCCTCCCTTCCCCTTTTTTTTTCCTTTTCTTTTTCTCTCTCTCGGCAAACGCTCGCTTGGACCTCCGTAAACAAAAAGTCTGAGTAGGTACAGTACTGTACCTACTCGTGCGGCCAGAAAGTCTGTACCCATGCCGGAAAATCATCCCAAATATAGTACATAGTAGAGTCTGATTTACTAAGTACTACGTAAGTAGTAGATCTAGGCGCAGTCAACCATGCGGAACAGAGCGTTGCAACCCCTTTGCCCAGTTGGAAAAGATTAACAAGGTATGGATGGGTCCAGACTTTCTGGCCGCACGAGTAACCTAAGCAAACGCTCGAGAAACAGCTGGCTGCATCGCACTTAAGAGGGTTATTACTAAGAGCAGAGTGCTAAGTAAAGAGGCAGTTGCTTGCATCGTACCGTACCACGGTACAGGCGTGATTGTTGCTGTACACCCGTTGGGGGTGCCTCCAAAGTTTAGTTTCCACTTTAAACCCCCTGAATACCCTACCCTCATGGGTGTAACAACTACCTACGCCTGGGACGTAGTACTATTATATGTATTTGAATAAAACCAAGAGCAGTCGATGCTATCGGGTGATACATACATCCTCCCTGTTAGCATATATTTATCCGTTCCTCGTCTTCTTTTTCTTTTGTCTTTTCAAGCTGGGCAATAACAATCGAGATATCAGAGAACGAGATGTGAGTGTGTGTGTGTGTACCGGTATGTACCATGTGACGGGTTGAGCGCAGCAGCCAAGCGCGTGGGATGGAATGTGCAGTTGATAAGCAAAACTGCAAGCCGGGCAGCCAATCGTAATACAAACGGTACAGGCGTAATTGCTGCACCCTGGACGGTAGATCTTCGCTGTTTCGATAAGCTTTTATTTTATTAAGCTGTGTACCACCCTTCCGCCGCGATTACGTCTAAACAACTCTATCTTATAACTCTAATTAAAGCAGTAATTCTATCCGTTTCGATCGAATCTTATGCTTTGTAAACAACTCTGTTCAATCGAAAATAGCTGTAATACACTTTAAAATACTTTTCTAAATTATAATCCTTTGTTCATAATCAAACCGTTTCGATCGAGTTAAGATCGAGAAATAAAGCTGGCCATTCGATCGGCTCGATACTATAAGCTTTTAAAACGGCTAATATACGTTGTTGTTATTGTTATTTTTATTATTGCATTTATTAACGTCGAGCGGGTATTCAAAACGCAATGCTTAAACCTTAAAGACCTCTTATAAAATACGGCGACGTGCTAAGTAAAAGAATTATATATAAAGTATTATCTAATCGAAAGTAAAAACTACGTTAAGGAAAACCTTTCGTTAAATAGCTAAACATTTGCAAACCTTTTAAAAGCAATTCATAATGCTATGCGTCGAGTTTTTTTTCGACAATTATCGAATACGTATAGCCTTACGAGCGGCCTCGATTCGTATAATATAAACATCGTTCTCTTTCGTCGTAAAGCTAAAAAGGCTCGCGTTCGTAACTTTAAAATAAAGCCGATATATTTGCAAAACGCTTTTTCGAAAGCGCAATAGCGTGTTTTCGATTAATCGAACTAAGCTTTTTTTATTTTATCTTTTATATACGTTTCCTTTTTACCGCAAATCCTTTTAGTTTTTTCAATCGGTATGCCCGTTAAGTATAGATCGTAATCGGCGTAGTATTCGAAAAGAAAAAGGAAGGAGGTTCGGAATCGCCGGTAAAAGAAAATCTTTTCGAAAAGACGTCGCATATCGATAATTCAATCTCGGCTCTTTAGACTCTTTATCTTTCTTTTTATTACAAAAGAAAGAAAGAGAAAGAGCTAAAGGTTCGTAAGGGGCACTTCGTACAGGTAAAGAATCGTAGCCCTCCGGCTAATGTACGTAGTACCATGGAACAGGCGTAAATTGTTACCCTTTGAAGGTGCCCCAAAAGTTTGGTTTCCACTATAAAACCCTTGGTTACCCTACCCTCAGGGGGTAATACTTACGCCTGGGACGTACTACTACTACTAAATTAAGCAGCGCGTCCTTGAGCATTATCTTGTTAAAACTTTAAATTCGAGATAATCGTAAAGAGTCTTACTAGAGATTAATATAAAAATATTCAAACAACTTTCCAAAATTAATCGGTTCTTACTCTTTTTTATTAAAGAATCCCCATATTCGATCGAGTTTTTCGCAAAATTCTCTTTGAAAACATTTATTCGATCTTTTCGTAGATTTCGACGAATTACGCAATCAGAGTATTAACGTTCGTTAGTTCGACGAGTAAATATAAACTTTCAAATGCTTTCTCGGCTAAGCTTACGTCACGTGGGTCAACAACCCTTTATCTCATTGATCGTCGATCTAATCAGCGTGCTCGCGCGCTTACGTTAATCTACCTATCGATAGCGTAATCGGAAGTCGAGAGAAGTTGCTTCTTATCGAATTCGGCGACGTTAAAATACTTTTCAAGTAGAATTTAAACTTATTCGTTACGCTTTTGCTACTAGCATATTCCCGATCTGATAAGACACTTTTCCGATGTGCTTCGACCCTTTCGAAAATCCTATTTCCTTTAGTGAAAAACCTTTGTTTCGTACCCTCAAGGGTGTAGCGATTACGCTTGGGACGTAGTTCTTGTACAGACTAATGCAATGCCGCGGGCAATTTCTCTTTTTTTATATTCACATTCGCTTGGTCAATCGTTTTGGTGGTAAGCCCGTTGGTTGTACAGAGAGAAGACCTCTTTGCGAGACTTTTGGCCCGGTAACGATTCTGCGAACAGGGAAGAAGATGATGGAGTGAGTGAGTGATAGTGACATCTTGTTTATATACCAGTCTTCTGTGCCGGCTACATATACTACTAGCTGGGTATGCATCATGCAGAGTCAGACAGACCCTTTTCTCCCTTGCCTTCCCCCCCTCATCCCCCCACCCCCCTCCCTCCATCCTTAAGGCTTAGGTGCGGACCGTACAGCAATGCCAACAGAGTTTAAATAATCCAGTCTCCTACCAACTACTACGTAGTAGTAATTATCTATCCACCAGGGAGTTCGCACGTCTCTGCCGCGTTGAAGTACTACGTATCTCGACAAGACGATCCCCGTCCATCTACGTATGGTCTATGATTGATTTCAAAGCTACTATTTGAGCCATACCATTACTTCCCAATACAAGACCGCCACCCGAACCACCGCCATCATCACCATATCCTCGCCACTCGCCATGGCGGACGTTGCTCTAGTCCTGTCCAAGGTCAAAGTATACCAGAACCACCCGATACCTGTCAGTCTCCCTCTCCACAGCTGCCTGCCCCCATCCAGTATGGAAAAAGGAGGATATAATACACACATACACACATATAGACATATAGACATATAGACATATATGTATAATATAATATAAGAAGACAACAAACATCTGACGCGAATATATCCGTGGAACCCAGGGCCAGCCATTCGCAGACATCTTCCCCATCTTCCGCGATCCCGCGGCCACCGAGGCCGTGGCCAGCCACCTCGTCGACCACATCCGGTCCACGCACGACGTGAGCGAGATCGGCAGCCTCGTGTGCATCGAGTCGCGCGGCTTCTTCATCGGCCTGGTGGTCGCCTCGCGCCTGGGCCTCCCCTGCGTGCCGGTCCGGAAGCAGGGGAAGCTCCCCGGGGAGAAGATCAGCATGGCCTACGATCGGGAGTACGGGCCGGACGTGATGGAGATCAAGACGGACGCCTTCGAGGGCATCGACGGGAAGAAGAAGGTGCTGCTGATCGACGACCTGCTGGCGAAGGGGGGCACCATCTTGGCCGCGAAGAAGCTGGTCGAGAAGCTGGGCATGGAAGTCGTCGAGTGCGTGTTCATCTTTGATATCCCGGCCTATTATACTGTGCTGCAGAAGAAGTTGGGGAATTTGCCGTGGTATGCAATGGTGCACTTGGATTAGAAAACAGGGCAATCATTCTTCAAAGAGAATTTGATCAGGCCCGAGAGATTCCAAACAAACAGACCTCTCGCACCGATCTGAGATATGATAGAAGCTGCCCGCGGTGACTTGGGAGCGCTGCTATTCATGAATAGCGGCTGACAGGTGTCGTATAGCACTGGCTTTTCAAATGCATAATTCACAGCTGTAAAGACATCCGAGAAGATGCGTGGAGTGAAGCAAGCAGAATCACCCATGACTGCAGACATCAAGCATGAACGCCAGGTACAGACAGCACTTGCAACGTTGGCATCGAAAGTTGGAGGTCTCAAAAACAGGACCAGAAAAGCAAAAGAATGCCCAAGACTGATATTCCCAGATATCCAACGCTAAATGTCTAACCCCTTGACACAAAGCCAAAGCACCACGGGCACGACGACATTATCATTACCCCCGGTAAGAGCTGCTTCCGTCAAGCTGGCCACCCACGCCGCAACGCCCGCTTTCCCAATCGTTATAAACCAAGCATCGTCGTTATTTGCCGGCCAGCCTCCGATTCTAAGCCACGCTTTTGCCAGCACCAACGCCAGTCCTACGGCAGTAGCAAATGCCACGCTACCTTCAATGCTTTTGCCGCCACCCCAGAGCCATTTCCGTCGGCCGTATCGTCGTCCAATTAATGATGCTGCTGCATCGCCCATGCCGACGCAGATCACTCCGCTGACCATGCTGACTTCTCTTGTTGGGACCTCCCAGCCGGAGAGGTAGTCGTTGCCAGTCTGAGGGAGTGTCCCGAGAGAGAGCCAAAGGGGGATTGCGCAGCCGATGAGGAGAAAGATGTGAGATATTACTACAGGGCCCTTGAGATCCCTTCCATCTACATAGGGCGTAAGGAAGTACGCTAGATGTTTTGATAGTGGCGGCAGTTGAGAAGCTCGAAATAGATCGAGAAGTAGGAAGATCGCAAGCATTAGAGATAGTGCCAATGCTGCGAATGTGGGATCCACGTAAGTGGCAGGGAGAAGCATTGCCACCATCATGAAATGGAAGACTTTGCGGCGAGTATCAACCTCATAAATAGATGACAGCCGAAAGACAGTTGCCAGTCCCGCAATGATGATCGCCAGCCAATATCCGCATAGAATGAGGCGGGTGTTTGCTGGCCCGAAAGATGCCTGTCGTAGATGTTCAACCCATCCCATATAGCAAGAGTCTTCGTGTTCGCGTCCACTCCTCGGAGGTACACATATCCATCGCTGAAGATTATAGCTTATCACTTGCATCCTGAACGATGGCAAGTCACCAAATAGGTACCCCAGAGCCCACCCTATAGGCTCGTTGCCATCCAGAGCAAATCTTTGGACGTATTCCCTGATACCGACGAAGATAATGGCTGCCACACAAAGGTAGACATAGCCTGCGTACAGCCATTTCCGGATAGTGGCCTGCTTTTGCGTGAGGGAAAAGAATGCCTGGACGCTCGAAGAAGTTGCCCTTCTCCTTCGACCCGACGGAGTCCTTTTGCTTGACCTCTGGGGAAGACTAGTCAAAGCAGGAAGCGTATGTCGTCTAATCATGGTAGACAGACCGTTACCGCTCATCTTTACCGCCCCGTTTGTGAAGTTGACCTTTGTTTTGGGATCAATTGCTGATAAGGAGCCACTCCCCTGAGGTTCCTCATAGGCTGACATCTGGTCTCGAGTGTTCAGCTCCAGTCTTGTTGATGGAATTTCAGCAGGTTCGTCATCCGCGCTTGATTCGCTAAGCGCAGCGTCCTTCCCAAAGACAGTTCTCCCAATATTCCCAAGAGATAATAGTTTCATCACACCCCTTTCGTTCGGGGCACGCCTGAATCGCCACTTTGGGACTCTGGCAAGTGCAACGCCCCATATGAGCACATGTCCACAACTGATCAGCATGCCGACTCCTCCACCCCAAAGAAGGGCTTTCAAAATGGTGGCTTGAGGAGATCTAGCCAGGAGCAATAAGTGGATCAGAGATATCGAAAGTAATTGCAGTTCCGCTGGAAGTAAACTCGTGGTGGTCAAGTAGTGTAATGTGTGGCACAGGGCTTGATGTAGCGGGTACAAAAGAACCAATACCTCAGGGCTCAAGACCCGGTTAATTTGGTTGCCTCTGGTCACAATCTCTCTGTCATGGGCCGTTGAATCTGAGACGAGCATTGGGAGACAGGTCAGAGCCCAGTGAGAGATGTTGGAGCCCTCCAGTCCGCCAGTGGATGGTATAAGCTGCCTAGGGAGCGACGCTATTCCCAGACTTATGCTTAAAAGGAAATTCGTAGGGTTATTTCTCGATAGTATCACAGTGACGAGTATGGTGATCGCGGGGGGGTATATCAGCGCCGCGGGCTCGAACGTTGCCGGAATAGCAATCGGCAAAGGTCTCTTCCATACTTGTGAAGGCTGTAAGTGCCGCAATAATCTCCAAGGGTATGCGGCGACTAGTGAGGTTGATATGAAAAACTGGCAGGCCAGTTCTGCCATAGTCAGCACGCCTGGAGCAGGCCACGATTTTGTAACGTACCTTTTCTCCACAAGTATAGGACCTCGCGGACTTGGGAATCAAGACACAGGAGTCCACCGAGGGAGCAGAGGATTGCTGCTTCTGCTGATCTCCTTACCACCTCGATCTTCCGTTTCCTCCCGAGTCTTCGGGCCGCCTGCGTCGCCTCATCCATATCTGTATTGATAAAGAGTTTCGATTGTTGTTGAAGATACCCATGACTCTTGAAAGTGTTTTCTTCGAGTATGGCCGGCGAAAGGATAGGACTCGGCGAGCCTGATGGGTTGCCGTCGCCACCTCGGAGTCCCTTATGGGGCCGTGCCTTCGGCGCAGGTAATCCCTTGAGGAAATGCTCATCGTCCGCCTCGGTGCCGCTGTCGCTATTCGTTGGATCCCTATATAGCCTTGATGGCACTCTCAGTACCTGCAGGTCTTCATCATCTGTTGTTTGGGTTGATCTCAGGAGCGAATGCTTGGGAGGGATGTTCGCATTCGCATCCGCATTATCGAATCTTTCGGAGCCATAGGCTAACTCGGACTGTTGGCGATGATAGGGATTGGGGGTCCGTGAGAGCCGCCGCGCGGCATCTTCTCGCAATGCCTGAGCATGCGATTGCTGGAGTATGATGGGATTGAGCTGCTCAGCCATCTCGAGGTGGCGGTGGCGGTGATGGTGATGATGATGGTGGCGGTGATGTTGATGGTGATGGTGATGGTGATGTTGATGGTGATGGTGATGGTGATGTTGATGGTGATGTTGAGGTGATGGAGTTGGAGTTGGAGTTGGAGTTGGAAGATGGAAGAGCTCGAGGGCCTCGAACCGATCCTATCTCTGCTTCTCTGCTTTTCGTGAAGGTATTTATTTAATTCAATACCCGCGACTGGTATCGAGCTCTCGCAGATAGGAATTCGTCGTGTTGTTGATTAAGAAGAAGGAGAGGAGGCCGAAGGTAGATAAGGAGAGACTGGCCATGGTGATGGGGATGGGATTTCCAAGTCACAGAAACGCCCTGCGCCCAACAATTACCTGTGGAGCGACGTAATCCTGATCTTGGTATTAAGGGTGCGGCGGAGTCGGGCGGAAGCTAATTTTGACCTACTCAAACTTCGCATACGTCACGATCTCCTTTGCTGCTATATACTACGTATATTTGAATCTTTTACATTCCAGCTTTGTACGTTTTTCTGAATGTAGTTTTTCAATTCATAAAATCCGTGTTTACCAGGCAAAGGGTCAAGTTCTTGATTGTATCATCAACTGGCTAATTACTCGATTTATAATAATTCAGCCTGATAATCAGAGCCGAAATTTCATAAGCAACTTTATATAATATAATTGATATTATATAAAATGGCACGTTAAACATAACATAATTCAATATATTTGAATTAGAATTGCAAAATAAATCATCGTGTAAAACCAAATATATATGGAAGTATTATTATATGAATGATAATTTATTGAATATTTTATTATGAGGGGGAGACCCCCTTAGACCCTCCATTTACCGCGGAGACCCCGGACCCCCTTGCGATTTACTTATATTACTATGCTCGATTAGCCTGAATAGGTTTGAATGAATTACGCGTTTTGAAAAAATTAAAAGAAAAAAAAAAGGAAAAGAATGTTACACGTATATATAAGAGCATAGTGTCGGTGCATCAATATCGATACGACTCGGCTGAGGGGAATTGGCAGGCTCGGTTAGCTCGGCTACGGATTGAGCATGCCTGGCTTAGCGTGGCATACCCTCAGGGCCCCCAACTTCCTTGTAAATACTATTATATAGCTAGGTAGTCTCGTGGTTCCTTCTAGTCGTATGCTACCGGTAGAAGGAATCCATTCCCCCGAACCTTAAGGAGCAGACCGAAATCAGATCCTATTTTTACCCATAGTTTTGCAATTGCAAGAAGCTACGTGCGCTGCACGCTAGTAATAAGAACGTGACGCTTTAATCGATCCCCTGCCGGCGATCCAACGCATAGATTTCCTTCTTACTGATTACTACTCTGCTATCAAGGTTCTTTCTATTCCACTATTTACTACTCAAATTATCGTCACCGTTGCTGGCTTATATATATTAAGCTCAAACTTTTCGATAAGTTCGAAAGATTCTTACTTAGTTTTATTACACTACTACTACTACGTCGCAGGCGTAAGTATTACCCCTCGAGGGTATGGAAAACAGGGGGTTTAAAGTGGAAACTAAACTTTTAAAGCACCCTCGAGGGGTAATACTTAGGCCTGTACCGTGGTATGTTGCACTTTTCAACATACGGCTTTCTTAGCCTTATTGAAAGCTCATTTCAAAAGAAAAAAGTGGTCCGTGCAGTATTATACAAACGACGTGCTCGTATGAAAAAGATAAGAAAGGTGACCCGTGCACGCGTATTCAAATAACGCGTCGACGCGCTGCGGTAGGTAGCTTATTAAAACAGTGCTACATGAAAACCGGTAGATAACTTATCATAACCGCTGATACGTAAAGTCGCTGCCAAGCTACTTGGCCGAATTAAGCTTAGCTATATGATATATTTAATTTGGGCCGATCTCTTTCGAGTATACCTTAAAGGAGAATGCAGGAGCATTTAGACGGTCAGCTGATCGTCCGATAACCATCTCTTTTAGGGACGATTTTAATAAGTTAGCATGGCTGGTGGATCACCTTAAGCCTATACTTAAGATTGAATAGAATCTGAAAACAAACGATTTAAATTATTTAAATCGTAGCTAAAATAAAACTATTTTATTCGATTAAATTTTTTTTTTTAAATACTCGTCTTTTCGTATAAAAACCGTCTTGGGACCGTCTTCGAGCGTTTTAAGACCGTCCCATAGCCGTCCCATAGCCGTCCCTGAGCTTAAAACCGTCCTTGAGAACGTGAATTAGTAAGCAAATACTCTGTTTATTAGCTGCTAATCGGCCCTTTACTACCTTAACCACTTACTACACCCCTTATACCACTACTACCTCCTTGCGAAGGCTGCAAGGGCGGCCGTCGTACGCGGGTAAACTTTTGCTAAATCGATCGATTTCGATTATAAAAAAATTAAAGCGTTGATATACAAGCCGTAGCAGCGATACCGAGAAATATCTTGGCGTCGAACTTCTTAAATTATTATTAAAACAATTTCATTCAAAAGATAATTTTTATCTATAACTATATCTTCTTTAAAATGGTTATCGGACTATTTTAATTTTTTAAAACGAGCTTATTAATAAGCTTGTTTTAAAAATATAGACGAAGACGGCTGTAGGACGGCCACAAAACGGTCTCTTTCAATAGGACGGTCTTTTCTATAAACTATTCTTGAAAAGAGCTTAGTACTGAATTTAAGCGGTCCAATAGCCGTCTCTTATAAAAGAGGATCAGAGGACCGTTCAAATGACCCCTTACTACCTTAAAGGCAGGTAGGGGGTCATTTGAGCGGTCCTCTGACCCTCTTTTATAAAAGACGATTATTGGACCGTTTAAAATCAGTACTAGTTACAAATCAAGAATAGTTCACCTTTTTGATCGTCCCCGAGCTTGGGACCATCCTACGGCCGTCCTATAGCCGTCCCCGTTTATATTTTTAAAACAGGCTTACTAATAAGCTCGTTTAAAAAAATTGAAATAGTTCGATAATTATTTTAAAGAAAATATAATTATAAATAAAAATCGTTTTTTAAATAAAATCGTTTTAAGAATAATTTAATAAATTTGATGCCAAGATATTTCTCGGTATCGCTGCCACGGCTTATATATCAACGCTTTAAATTTTTTATAATCGGAATCGATCGATTGAGCAAAAGTTCACCCGCGCATTTAATGCCCTGTATTGCCCGTAAAGTGGATAAGGGGAAGGGGGGGGGGAGGGTGGTAGTAGAGGGTACACTGCTATGCAATTGAATGAAAATAAAGATTATTTGCTTACTAATCTACGTTTTCGAGGACGGTTTCAAGTTCGGGGACGGCCTTGGGACGG